ACAAACATGAGTGCCTTACATGTGTCTTCCTCAGGTTCTGTCTTCAGTTAAAGTATTCATATGCCCGGAGGTTGGTCATTCACAGCCTTCATTTTGAATCACAAGAACATCTTGTAACACATAAGTACCTCCCCTTACAAGCAGCTGTAGGGAAAGATGTCCATATCAGCACTTCCACATCAGAGCTGACGCCATTCTGAAGTGTTTCCTTTAAGAAGCCACAAAATTTTCATGAGGAAGTCGGAGGGGTTGTTTTACTGTGATTTAACTCAAAGCACTGATGATTATCTGTGTGTTAATGACAATATGCCACCACATGTTTGTTCCGATTTACACTCCGTTACCAACACAATAACAGTGCTACAACACTTTTTACTCTTGCGCTGGCCCTAGGAAATATTATTTGCAGGTAATAGTTCCAAAAAGATTATAGTCAGTGCTAAGATTAAGTTATCCTCGTAAAATCATCTACATTTATGAATATGTCTTTTTTCTGGTGACTTTGGTCACTTATAAACATGATACATTACAGCAAAAGTCACTTCCTGCTTTGATTGGTCTGAAATTTGACTATGTTAAGGTTAGAAATCAGAACTACTGGTTTCCTGAAGACAGACCACACGATGTCCATATTTCTGCATCACATCCATGACATCCACCGTGCTCAAACAAAATCTATGCCCTATGAATGCAGTTATATCACTAAAAATATCCACATTTCCCTTGTGCTATTGTGGTGTTCAATTTTAGCCTTGTAGCACTTTGACTGATCCATGTTTAAACCAAAAGATAATTTAGAGCTATAATTGATATCTGACACAGCCTTTTTATAAAGTAAATAATCAAAGAAAGAAAGAATACAAATACTGCTTCATTTTCCCTTAATACATGAAAAACTGTGCTTAATTGAAACCTTGGAAGAGTAGTGTGAATCAACCTTTTATACTTTTTTCCTTACACAACCAGCTTTATTGTACATTTGCAAGTCAAACAAAGATCATCTAATCAATCACTTTATCTGAGGACAATTTTGAAACAGATTTTGAAACACTTTTTTCTTAAAGTTAAGTGACACTAAATATGTAGTTTCTTTTTCTTTTTTCGACATTCAAATCACCATCCCCTTTCTGCAAGCGCATACTAAATTAGAGTTGGCTGGTGAGCCACAAATTAAACTTCACTGCTCCTCATAAAATAGATGGAAAAGGCTCAAACATATTGATCGGTCTAAGGAATCTCTTCGCTCTGTTGTGTTGGCTTCACTATCTTTACTGGTGCACCACTGAAGAATTATAGCATGAGTAGGGAGGGATTTACTCTCCAAAAACAAAAAAGAAAACATGTCAATGCCTTTAAGTATATATCAGCCAAAAAGAAAGACATACATGCGTGGGATGTAATGGGAGGAAGTGTGAAAGTAAGACTAGCACCATCCGGTATAATGTTTGCCTTGGAACTGCTTTGTTTCTTTTTTCTTCCTTTAGTCTTTTTATAACAGAGATAGAACACACATACATTACCTTGTACAAGCAGTTTTTGGTTACATAGAGGGAAAATATGTCGGTAGAATCTTTGAAGCTTTTCAAACCAAATATTTACTCAGTATGAAAAGGGTTCAGACAGTGATGTTTCATAGATTCAGGTGCATATTGTATCTGCGTTTCCATTTTGTCTGGGATTAACATCATTACAAAGAGACAGCAGCTGCTTCAGACAAACAGCATGCAAACGAAGGGGAGAGTTTCCTGCGTATTTCCCTGTGGGGACTGCATGTAAAGTCCTATGTAAAGAGAGCAGCTATCAACAGGTGAACAGTAACAAATGGTAGATTGAGGGGTAGTGTAACCACTTCCGAAGCACATACACAAGTATTACAAATTGTTACGAGTACAAACACCAACATTAAATGTTAGTTTAAGCTTCTCTTGATCCTCTTTAAAAGCATTTTCGTAACCAACATAATGCATTATCACTGAAGAGATAAATCCATGTCATCTCTAACTACATCAAACATACGCTTCAGTCAAAGTTAAAGAAAACTACCTAAATCCAATGAAGTGTTCCTCTGTAAAAGCTGGTATGCTTTCGGCGCTTTTCTGGGCATACATTGCCATCTAGTGTTCAGAATGAGATCTGACTCACATCGCAATCATTCACTTCCAGTATGTGTTGTAAACTTAAGACACTAAATATATTACACTATAGAGAACAGCAGGTCCTAAATGTTGTTTGTGAATATATTGTCAACATGTGCTTGCTGCTTTGATATTACCAGGGCGTCAACAACCTGTGTACGTTTCAATCCATGGTTGTATGCAAAAAGAATAAAACACTGAAAAATATCTTTATTTGGCTGTGATGCTCCACGTTGTAAGGCTTTAATGTGCAACAGCAAATCTAAAACCGTCAAAACATTTAAAAATAGACCATGCAAAGAAAGAAAAAACGCTTCACCAAGTACAAACAAAGATGATGATTATATTGTCTTCTGTTGTTTTCATTTCGATATTATGTTTTCTGATATCAGACCAGTAATAATGGTTTTATTGATGCATTGTATATCTGAGGTCTAACAATCATAGATTCATTTTAGTTTATAATGAACAAAAAGCTACTAAATTGTCATTAATAAAAAAATCAATGCCTGGAATAAAAAAAAGCCCAGAATAATCAAATTAAATTAAAATGCCTAAAAAAGCAGAGTCAGACTGATTCAATGACATTATACTTGTTCCACCACCTGGAAGCTCAGACGTTAATTCTTAGATAATGGTTGATATCTTTTCTTTAAGTTCTCAATTACTTTAGCAGAGATGTCCTCTCAACTTACATCCACTCATAGCCCATACGAATGAGAGACAAAGTGGTTTTTGACACTGAAAGGCCCGGTCCTCAAGCCTTCATGCAAACACACACACATATATACATCCTCTTTTCATTAAGCCCTGTACACCTCACGTCCCTCTTTGTCTTTGACAGCTGTGGGCGTTCAGTGGCACACTGCCTCTTCAGAAAAAAAGATATGTGGGTAGAAAGAGGGATGGAGGGGAAGGGAGGAACAGAGAGAGGAGGAGATATGGCACATGTTTGGTCTGAGCCTGATGGAGGCTTCAGATAAACATGCAGGTCTGTCTGCTTCCAAACACTCACCTGACTCCACATGTAGCACATGCAGAGGAGCAGGCCCCTGACTGTCCATGTCCTCCTTTAACTCTTTCCATTGAAGTGTGGATTTTGTTCTACATCAACTTTAAGTAACACACTAGTTTAGAAAATTGGCGATTCCTTAATGGTACCAGTCTACAGAAACTTTGCGGAAACTCTTGAGTTAAAAGGGGAAAAACATATTTCTATAGAAAAAAAATCATGTTGTGTGGACATCAGCCTTCAAGTCTTTTCTTGCAGAAATTCCACACACAAGGCTTTTCATTTGTACGTTTTTCCACTGAAATGACAAACATACGACTGAATTTGACCCCAACTTTCAAATATGGTCAGGCTCTTTCCCAATTTGCACTGACATCACAGCGAGCTAAATCTGAGCCAAGACCTGGATTGGACTGTTTATTAGGCGTGTTATCCCTCATCAAACTAAGGTTATCATCGTCCCCAAATATTTCATGGCTGCACACACTCATATTGTCCTGCACACACGCACACACACAGTAGCAGCTTTAACAGTAGTATCAGGCATTACTTCAGTCAGTGCAGATAAGAGAAGTTGTGAAATGAAGTGTGCAAATCTTTCCACTTCAGCTCCAACTCGGTCTCATATCAAAGGTGTGGAGCGATAACAGCTCTCCCTGGCTCACTCACACAGTTTTAGATAGACTCGCCAACTATGTTGGTGGTCTCTCCCCCTCACTGCTGCTTCTGTCTTAGATTAGCCCACTGACTGACTGGTATGTATGTCTCTATTTCCAGACATTAGTGGCTCCTTGCAGTTCCAGGCTTATAAACATCAGCTGCTATGACAGGGAAAAAGATCAAGAAGCATAATTCATGTTTTTTACAATTTAGGTTACTATAATCCAAATGAATATCATAGCATCTGCTGAGTTCAAGTAAATCTTTTAAAACAAAGCAGACCTGGTTTGACACAGATTAATAACACTGCCACAATGCTTTGGCACTGAGCTAAAGGCTGACGTAAAGATCCCAATCACGGCCTCTGATGATGAATATTCCTGCGCAAACAGGATGTGATACCTACTGTACTTCTTCTTTCCATACACCACAAATGTAGACTGCTGAGTTTGTGTGTATGTGTGTGCGCGCGTGTGTCTGCAGGTGTGCTGGAAGTGTGTGTGAGACATTCTCTCCTGGTGCTGGGGCAGAACAAACATGGATTAGAGCCACACCACCATGCAGGTACCAACAACTCCCCGTTCATCTACACTCAAACACCTTCAAACACTCATGCTCCCAGCAGCTGCAGCTTACATGATGTCAGGGCCATTAAAGTTATGTAGCTGGAGAAAGCAGGCGCATGAAAGACTTGTCATTTAGACACAGCGAACTATTAGAAGGCTCATAATTGCTCCTGGATAGACAGGTTTACTGCCTCAGGCCTAGAGGCCTGTTAAGTACAGAGGGTCTGAAATAAATAACATGCATCTGTGACAAGTAATACCATGATTGTTGACTTAAATAATGTTCT